TTTTTTTTAATTTGGAATAAATGGCTATATTGATATAGTAATTACCAAAGTGACAATATCGTTCCACACATAATATATAGTATACGCAAGTAGCTTATTCCGATTAGTTTTGATTATGAGATGAACACATTAGTTCAATCGTATTTCCTAAATTCTGTTGGCTTTACTCTGTAGTTAGAAAAAAACACAACACTTTATTACTTATTTGAGAACAGTCGCGCACAAGAGTCGATATACTGTAGCTAGGTTTGCCGTCAAAACTGAAGGGTTGCGAAGCCTATCGCGTGGCCAGGTTTCCAGGTTTGTCGTCAAAACTGTACATCGCGATCCAAGTGATCTTAAGATCTTGCGATCTTAATCGCCGCCGATCGGAATGATTGACAAGGATTTCCGATCTTCCTCGCAATTCACGATTCGCCCAGGTCAAAAAATGCTAGGCGACGATTTAGGCGTCCACAAAAGCTCGCCCAGACGCCTAATCGTCGCCTAGGCGACGCCTTGATAACTATGATGAGAGTTAAATCCTCCCTCCCTCCCTCCGTCTGTTCCCAAATATCAATCTCTTAATGTTATTTATTTTGTCTAAATTGACCCTTCTACCCCTATTAATTCACTTGAATTTTCAGTCACCGTGGATAGTCAAACAGAGTGTCGGCCGGAAGGCATGCCTTATAGAGCTAGGGTTAGAGGTAGGTTACTTCCGCAAGAAGAAATACTTGGAGGTACGCGGCATAATAGTTCATGTTTTTTTTAAATTTGGAATAAATGACTATATTGATATATTAATTACCAAAGTGACTATATCGTTCCACACATAATATATAGTATACGCAAGTAGCTTATTCCGATTAGTTTTGATTATGAGATGAACACATTAGTTCAAACGTATTTCCTAAATGTTCTTCAGGTTTGTGTGCTTTTTTTAAGCGTTGGACTCAATGCACGGGTTCTACCTTTCAATCGCCTAGGCAATTAGGCGCCCGCCTAGGCGTCCCCTAGGCTAGTGGGCTATGGCGACCTTAATAAATTTTATAGGTACAAATGTAAAAGCATATAGTATGAAATAAGTAATTAAAGAGTACATACTTTGAAATATATGAACAAATGTTTTTTTAAATAGAACACATTCCTTTTCAAATTCCTAGAACCAAACCTAGTATAAAAGAAAATACATATCCTCAAAAGAAAAAAAAAGAACACAAATTCTGTTGGCTTGACTCTGTAGTTAGAAAAAAACACAACACTTTATTACTTAATTGAGAACAGTCGCGCACAAGAGTCGATATACTGTAGCTAGGTTTTCCATCAAAACTGAAGGGTCGTGTAGCCTATCGCGTGGCCAGGTTTCCAGGTTTGTCGTCAAAACTGTAGATCGCGATCCAAGTAGATCTTAAGATCTTGCGATCTTAATCGCCGATCGGAACGATTGACAAGGATTTCCGATCTTCCTCGCAATTCACGATTCGCCCAGGTCGAAAAATGCTAGGCGACGATTTAGGCGTCCACAAAAGCTCGCCCAGACGCCTAATCGTCGCCTAGGCGACGCCTTGATAACTATGGTGAGAAGTTAAATCCTCCCTCCTTCCCTCCGTCTGTTCCCAAATATCAATCTCTTAATGTTATTTATTTTGTCTAAATTGACCCTTCTACCCACCCCTATTAATTCACTTGAATTTTCAGTCACCGTGGATAGTCAAACAGAGCGTCGGCTGGAAGGCATGCCTTATAGAGCTAGGGTTAGAGGTAGGTTACTTCCGCAGGAAGAAATACTTGGAGGTACGCGGCATAATAGTTCATGTTTTTTTAATTTGGAATAAATGACTATATTGATATAGTAATTACCAATGTGACAATATCGTTCCACACATAATATATAGTATACGCAAGTAGCTTATTCCGATTAGTTTTGATTATGAGATGAACACATTAGTTCAAATGTATTTCCTAAATGTCCTTCAGGTTTGTGTGCTTTTTTTAAGCGTTGGACTCAATGCACGGGTTCTACCTACATGACAGTGCCGATGATGAAACTGTCGGTACGAACTTCAGTTGTTTTCTGACGAGGGAAAAGAATAGGGCAGACTGGAATTCATTACTTTTTACGTCATGGGGGAGAAATTGAAGGTAATTTAAATATGCATCGTGAATTCTGAGTATCGGACTTCAAACGTATAAAAAACTGAACTCTGTATGTTAGCATTTAACAGTTACCAGCCTCTTTTTTGTCACTCTGTATGTTACCATTTAATTCTGTTCAAATCTATGTCTGTATGGTTAAATGGTACAGTAACCTGCTAATATATCCTTTGTATCCTGCATACAGATTCTAAGAGCTCCTTTTGAAGTCTAACTTGGCCATATCTGAGGACGACTTTGAAGTCCACACACTGTTACAAGAAAAAAGAAAGAAAATAATCCAAACTTTAAAACCTGATGACACGCCTTTAAAATTATTCCCTACAATTCATTGTTCTGATTATATTAATTGGCCATGATGGTTTGAAATTATTTCTTACAAGTCCCTCAGTCCTGATGTTTGTGTGTAATCACCAAAGTTCTCTTCCAACAAATGAGATGTAAACGGAAATTTAACTTTTTACCCACATTTATTAAGGCAGGTACGGCTACACCTAGGTCATGTGGCATAAAACCGAGATTGCTTCTAGGGATAGAACTCATTGTCATCCAAAATTCAAGAAAAGGTATTTCCCATGCAATTACCGGTTGAATTAAAACTGTTAGAAATAAAAAGAGAATACCAGTGATTCCTATAATTTACGATCCATATGACTAACCATCCATATCTGGA